CACTTCTTCTAATTTTTCGTCTCCTATCTTTATATTCGCTCTTTCCCTACTTTTTCTTCCCTTGCATATCAGTATTTTAGTTTTACTTTTATTTATTTTCATACAGTACTGATCTGTCAGTACCGCTTCCATTTTATTTAAAGCTATCTCTAGGTCCTCCTTGCTAGATGCTAATACTGCTATATCATCTGCAAATCTAAACATACTAATCTTCTGCGCCTATATATCTATCCCTGCAGTTGTACTGTCTTCGATGGACAGATTAAAAAGCAGCGGTGATAGTGTGCATCCCTGTCTGACTCCCTTCCTAATATTTACTTCTCTTCATTGTAGCTCCAGCTCTATAGCTGCCTGTTGCCCTTTATAGAAATTAAGTATCACTCTTCTATCTTTGTAACTCATCCCTATATTTTTAAGTATATTTAACATCTTGTCTCATTTAACATTGTCAAAAGCTTTTTCTAAATCTACGAATCCTATGTACGCACTCTTTCCTTTTTCTATCGTTTTCTCTATTGTTATCCGTAAAGCTAGAATGGCTTCCCGCGTTCCACTAATTCTTCTAAGCCCAAATTGATCTGCCTTTTTTCCATTCTCCTCTGTGCAATTCTGGTTAATTAATTCGTCATTAATGAATTACGTTTTGAGAAACCTTCAGAATTATTATGTTCTCATTAATCATTAAGTTTACGGTCACTAGGTTTTCTTTCGTCTATCAGAGTGTAGATAAATGTACCGTTGATTTGAAGTGTTGTAAATGTAATCGGAAATAATTTTAGAGGCGTACAGTTCCTTAAGCTAGATCGTTAAGAAACTGAGCCATGCTTGATATCTAGCAGCAGACGTCAAATCGTCACCCAGTTCAAATTACCCTCATTATCTACGTTTGCTGCGCCTGTTGGGAATTGATGTCGTCATAATGGTTAGATGGAGCTGATAACATTTGCTTTCGATGAGGAATGAGGTCAAGGAAAGAAGCAATAAGAACAACGGTCGCGACTGGGTTGAGATGGCTTGGGGTTGTGTGCGTTAAACATAGGACGATAATGTCGATGGCTTTAAGATAAAATTAATCGAAGGGCGTTTATTTCACTTAAGACGTGTATCTGACATAAAGGAAACAAATTACCAAATCATGACAAAGATTTTTTTTTCCTTCAACGATAAAAATGACGATAAAATTACGTTCGGGCGTATTATTTTGTTAGAAAGTTAACTATAATAGTCTTGGACCCATCAATCCTAGCACTGACGAAAACTGCCATGTAAAAATAGACTTCAGATTCTGGGCATCGATTGGAACTGCATGAGAAAGCCAATCAATTGATGACAACTTTAGACTCTTAAGCAGTAGACTAAACTTACTTTGAAATGTCAACTTGGTAGTAGTGTTTAAATGGGTGGGTGGTATTTGTTTAACTATCATAGAGTATAAGAACAAAGGCTTTTACTGCCGGAATCCATTGTAGAATGAAGATTCGGGCTATAGGGCCGTGGTCTAAGTGAACTATTCCGTCCAGACGTTTCGTCAGCTACTGCGGCTGACATCCTCAGTGGTGGTGCTGCGTTGACAACGTGAACGTAGATTATATCTCGACAGCTACAGTCGCTGACGAAACGTCTGGACGGAATAGTTCGCTTAGACCACGGCCCTATAGCCCGAATCTTAATTCTACTATAGATTCCGGCAGTGAAAGCCTTTGTTCTTACATCCTTGGAAATGGATAATCTAAAATATTAGATCGATATTTTTCCGGGTTCAGTGTCATGATCCATGGAATTTTGAAGTTCCAAATTGACATGCCAACTCACCACTTATCGTACCTTTAGCAAGGAACTACGAGGAAATGGATAATCTAAAATATTAGATCGATATTTTTCCGGGTTCAGTGTCATGATCCATGGAATTTTGAAGTTCCAAATTGATATCAGCACCTGCCGAATCACCACTTATCGTACCTTTAGCAAGGAACTACGAAATTCTATGAATTACGACAAAATAGCTGGCAAAACAATATCGATTGATTTACGCCAGCTGTGTAAAACTGAAAACTATAAGATATAGTGGTGTGCTAATAAAATCTGTCCCCTGCCACTCTATGCACTTCCACACTAACTAAAAACAAATTTTCTAATCTTCTGTAAAGTTATTCATACCTATATTCTACCAACGGTTTCCTCATCTATACAATTACAAATTTTCAACTTTCAATCTCCACCCCCTGCTCTTCCATGTCACCAAATCACTCATAAAAACTTCTTTAGAGTTCTTTAGAGTCTTCCCCATGTATCCCGCCTCATTTCTTCCCCTTTACTTCGGGTAGGAACTTGGACCTTATCGGTACTTGTCTTTTTCATATTTGGAGAGGGTAATGTGTTCTCACTATCGGCTGTTTGACGATATTATGTATTTGTCCAAAATATGAATCCTGGTAAAATAAGGGAAGAATATTTCCAAGTCTCCCTGAATACTCTGTATTTGATTATTTTGTTAACTTGAAAATTATTTTGTACAATATTAAAGCTGTTGTCACTTTAGGAATGGCGTATGCCCTTCTGGGGAATGTTCCACCAATTTGTGGTCTATACATGGGGTTTTTCCCGGTACTTATTTATTTTTTAATGGGAACTTCTAGACATAACTCTACGGGTATGTGTTTCTTATGTCTAGGTGCAATCCGGAATTTAGAAATGTATCTCTCCATTTCAGGATCATTTGCGGTGGTTTGTTTAATGGCAGGAAAAGTTGTATTAAAAAACTCCGATCCTTTTTATTTTACTGAGAGTCCTAGCGGTAACTTAACCGAGGCGGTAATACCAACGGGGTATTCCCCTGTTCAAGTAGCCGCCAGTGTGTCGTTTCTTGTTGGATTTATTCAGGTGCGAAATTCTTTTTTTTGTAGACAAGTATCGTCAAAGTCTTGATTTTTCCAGATAATTATGTATGCATTTAGACTAGGAATTTTAAGCGTTTTATTGTCGGACACATTAGTAAGTGGATTTACTACAGCAGCGGCAATACAGGTCTTTACGTCGCAGTTAAAGGACATTCTAGGGGTGGAAATACCCAAAATTACGGGATATTTCGAGATCATATACGTAAGAACTAAAATAAATGAAAAATTATGTGTTTTGTATCAAAAGAACCAAATCATGATGTCAAACGACTGAAGTCTATTTTTGACCCCTCTTGCGATCTTTTTAGTTCATCAATTTTGTTAGATTCATAGTTAAATTATCCATCTTGAGGAATAGAAATAAAGCATCATCAGTGGTCACTATTACAAGACGATTGATTAATATTTTATATGAGAGAATTTTTTAGAAAGGGAAGGAAAAATGTATTTTCATGGGATAGAAAAGGCTGAAGCAGGAAATTATATGAATTAATATTTTTTTATTTATAATATAAGTGATGTAAGGTAGAAGTTTTGATACAGGACACTAATCATTCTGGTTAAATATGGATTCAGGGTTGTGAATTACCATTTTTTTACCCAGTACTTTTGTAATCAGTAATGGAAATATTTTTTATTAACTATTAGATACTATTGTACTCTTAGAAAAGGGTAATAAATAGTTACTGTGAATTCTTTCCAATACTCATCACAAAAGTAATGGATAATATGAATTATTTAACGTAAATTTTCCGTAGAGTGAAGTAAGTACTGTTTTCTAGGTTTATGAAGTACTGTTTTCTAGGTTTAATATCAATTTTTTTTGCAGACTTTTATTTATATTTTTCAAGCGATTACATCTGTTAATTTTGTTGTATTACTGATAAGTGTAGTTACAATCGTTGTCCTTATGTGTAACAACGAAATCCTTAAGGTAAAAAAACAATAGTGTACCAGTGGGTATTACAAGTTATACTTCGTTTACCTTCTGTAGCGATGTGACCTTCAGTTTGACCGGCGCAAAGTAGAAAAAAACAGCACTAGGCCAGAAAAGGAAGGAGACAACTCTCGGCCAAACTCTTAACCGGTGAGGAGCCTATAATCCGTACAGTACTGCACGGAAAAATTGGCCATTTTATCCACTGCAATTGCATTGCTCAAATGTGCTGTTATTATTAAAGGCTTTAACGCTTGTTTTCGACTCGTACTATTATTTATGATTGAACAAAACTTTTGACAGGTACTGTATGAAAAAGTATGTTTAATGAACAAGAGTCGAGAGTATAATGAGATTTTTTCTCCCTACCTACGCATCCAAGACATTGGAAGGGGCACATCGCTACAGAAAGTAAATGAAGTATAACTTCTTTTATTCACTTGGCTATTTAGGTAGTCTGTATTACTACAATGATACTATATTTTAGCCAAAGATTTCCAAATACTGTTCATTCCCGGTTCCTGTAGAACTAATTGCTGTAGTTGTCGGTACATTGCTATCTAAATATCTTAGTTTTTCGTCGAAATATCACGTTCAAATTATTGGAGAAATTCCTACGGGGTATACGAAAGAGCAATTTAATGGAAATGTAATGTTAAAAGCCTTTTTCTAGGATACCGGCACCGTCTTTACCCAAATTTTCAGTACTTTCCGATGTATTTATGGATTCCCTGATGATAGCAATTGTATCGTATGCTTTAACGTTATCAATGGGTCTAATCTTTGCTCAGAAACTTAATTATGAAATCGACGCTAACCAGGAACTACTAGCCCTGGTAACTACCTAATTGTATCACACAAAATATTTCAAAAACACTTTACTAGCTGCAATCATTTTTTTAGGGAACGGGAAACATTTTCGGCTCGTTTTTCAGTTGTTTACCTTACAGTGCTTCGATATCTAGATCTGTGATACAAGAAACCATTGGGGGAAAAACACAATTGGCTTCTCTAGTTTCTTGTATGATAATGTTTTTCGTTTTAATGTGGCTAGGACCGGCTTTTGAATACTTGCCAAAGGTGAGAGTAATCCTTATTTAAATTCATCCTGAAAACGTCCAGGACGAATGTGAAGTGGAGCATTTAAAAATGGATAATTATTTCAGGCAGTCCTTGCAGCCTTAACCATAGTTGCAGTGAAGGGAATGCTAATGAATGTAAAAGATTTTTTCAAATTTCTGAAACTGAGCAAGGCCGATGCTGCCGTATGGCTTTGTACATTTTTATCGGTCATTATTATAGGTGTAGACGTGGGGTTGCTAACAGGAATCTGTTTGTCATTAGTGTGTGTGCTTATAGCAGGGTTGAAACCATTTGCTTGCCTACTCGGGTATCTACCACACACAGATCTTTATTTGGACATTACAAGATATAAAGGGGTAGGTAAGATGTATCTTAGTATCAGGAATATGCACAAGTTTTACTGGGACATGTTGGGATAATAAGGGGGCAGATGAAGAGGTTGAAAGTGCCCTATTTTTTATTTACTAGGTCAAGAGTAATTGTAAATAAACACATAAGGGAAATACCTCAAATGGCGTGGTGAGCGCCATCTGTAGTACGATGCTACATTTGAGGATTACGTATGCTCCAACAAGGTCCATTTAAAAATATGGATATGTACTTGCTGAAACTAATCCCGGCGTAGCTCACCTCAACGTGATAGGCACGTTACCATAATCGAAGTGGTATGTATTCTGTCGAAACTGCCAGATGCGGATCGCGATTTCGATCTTTTTGGATCTCATCAGCGCGTCGCAGGAAGCTCCGACAGGACATATCCATATTTTTAAATGGACCTTGTTGGAGCATACGTAATCCTCAAATGTAGCATCGTACCACAGATGGCGCTCACCACGCCATTTGAGGTATTTTCGAAAACGCGCTGTTAAGACAGCAGGTAAAGGTTGGTCTGTGTTCTGTCGGAGCTTCCTGCGACGCGCTGATGAGATCCAAAAAGATCGAAATCGCGATCCGCGTCTGGCAGTTTCAATAGAATACAGAGACCACTTTATTAATTATTTTGTTAAACGCATAAGGGTTAAATATTCGATGATTGAATAATTTCGATGCGTTGTATCTAACGCTATGGTCTGGGCTCGTTAGGTTACGTTTGCGAGGCTCATATTTTTGTAAAATTTTGAGCACTTCTTATTAACCGAACATGTTTTCGTAGATTCATATTTTTTTCTATTTATTTTATTCATTTACCACCTAGGTGGCAGAAGTACCTGGAATCAAAATATTCCATTATCGAGGTGGTATAAATTTTGCATCGAAAAACACGTTTAGAAGCGAACTTTTCAGAATCGTCGGTGTTGACCCACAGAAAGAATTGATAATAAGAAAAAAACTAGAGAAACACCAAAATTTGGTGGGTATCTCTTTCCCTCTTATCGAAGCAGATGTTAGCTATACGATTTTCGTATTTTATTTTTAGGACTTGTCCGAATTGAAAACAATGAAGAATTGCGAAAAAATTGAAAAGATGCAGAACAAAATAACAAAAGGAATACATTGTTTAGTTTTAGATTTTTCAGCTTTGAGTTACATAGACGCCGCGGGGATTTCCACGATAAAACAAATCATCCAGCAGTTTTCAAAGATTGATATACCGGTCCTGTTAGCGGCTTGTTCCGGTACGCACCGAAATAAATTGTTAATTTTTCATTTACTAAATTCCTTTCAGGTCCTGTGTACGAAAAAATGAAGAAATGTGAACTAATTGAACACAAAAATTCAATTAAAATGTTCCCTACAGTACACGATGCTGTACAATACGCCACTAAAATACTTAATGTAGGAAACGATTCAAAAGGCGTTTCTACAATATCAATATAGTTAATAAATATTTTAGGTTCGTATATTTTAACATTGTAAAATTAATTTGGCACAATAAACAAGAATGAAACACAAACTGCTATTTTATTGCAATATTATTAGAACAAACTTAAACGTATTAATGTAATAAATATTGTACAGCAGATATTTTATAATGCAATAAAACATTAGCAACATCAAAGTGTACTTCGTTTTTTATTATTCATTTGTTTATTTATGGTTTGAACAATTAAAGAATCCCAAAATAGATCGTCAATTGACTGTATGCATATAATTATTTAGTTTTTTATGTGCGTACGTTTTTTTTATTTACTATCTCCTAATTAATTTGGTAGTTCAAATAAACTAATTAGTATTGCGATTATAAAAACATTTTCGCTAGTCTTTACCATCATAAAATTAATATTTGCAACATGGTTAATGGTAAAATAATAAAACAGCACCTGTCCAGGCAAAGTTTATGCTTTAGTGGTTTAATTTAATAAAATAACTGAAATATGCAATAACTTGTTGGAATTCTTTTCAAAATATAATTTCCATTTTTTCACTTGTTTTAGGAATGCGGAGAATCAAAGCCAATGTGGGGCAAAAACCATCAATAACCAACGTCTTACCCTTATTCATAGGTTTATTAAGGTAAGTTTTTTAGTCGATATATATTATAATATTTACGTCTTAATAGAACAACACAAAAAACTCGTTGCAACAGAAGTTCTTACATAAAAGAAATAATTTTCAGCTCGAAATATCAAATTTTGAAAGTTGCTCAGGAATTTTATACTTCATTTACTTTCCCTAGCAATGTACCCCTTCCAATGTCTTGAATGCGCGCTGACAAAATCGTAGGTAGGGAGAAAAAAGTTCATTATACTCTCGACTCTCGTTCCTTAAACATACTTTTTCATACAGTACCTGCCAAAAGTTTTGCTTATTCATGAATAGTAGTGCGAGTCGAAAACGAGCGTTAAAGCCTTTAATATGTCTTCAAATATAAATAAACATCTCGTTGACATTTTCAGTAGTAAATGGTAATATAACAGCACATTTGAGCAATGCAATTGTAGTGGATAAAATGGTCAATTTTTCCGTGCAGTACTGTACAGATTATACGCTCCTCACCGGTTAAGAGTTTCGCCGATAGTTGTCTCCTTCCTTTTCTGGTCTAGTGCTGTTCTTTTCTACTTTGCACCGGTCAAACTGAAGGTCACATCGCTATAGAAAGTATACGAAGTATAAAAACTTGCAGAATTTTTGATGTTTTTGAGGGACTTCATGAAATATTAATATTAAAGCCTATTTTTTTACTTTTTTTCCATATTATAAAAAAATATTGAGAGGCTGATTACTTTTCTTATGTGTATCAAGAAAAAACATTTCATAAGAAACGAAAATTGTTTTCTTGACTATTTTCAAAATTTTTAGATCGCGTTTAATCGTTCTGGTTTTTAAGAGAGTTCTTATATCATAATCAAACTTTAACATTTTCTTACCTGTCAATTCTTGTATTTGAAAGAGAAATTTGTCGAAGATGTTTAGGAATATTTTTAGATTTGATGACAGCAAATTCTTGCGATTGTAGCCGTAAAACTAATTTATTGTTAAAAATGCACAGTAAATAAAATGGTTAAAAACATTGAGATAGTTACAAAATAAAACAATCACTTTAAATACATATAGTCGCTAATAATCGAACTGTCGTTTATAACTTTACAAACTCTAATACGTTTGTGTATGATTATAAATTTTTAAATTGCTGCAGTGCGTCTACAAAATACTATAATAAAAGTTCTAACTTCTAATACAGCGACTGCAATAGAGAGATAACAATTTGCAGTATATGTTTCTTTAATAATTAACTTTTTAACATCAATTTAATTTTTTAGTCATGCTGCGAAACTTGTCTTAATACTGCAATGTTCGAAAAAGATTGTCGAATCACCTAAAATAAAGTAGTAAATAAAACGTATTGCTTTATCGTTTTTACGATAATTGATGTGTATTTTAAAAATAAATAATTCATCACCCAAGCGAATTGTTCCATGTCAAGGGACACGACACCGCCAATTTTTATAACAAGGGCCTTTTCGGCTCTTAACATCATCAAGTGGCATAGTTTTTTAGCCTCTACATTAAAATCTGGCCACTGACTACTCCAAACTCCCAATTTCACAGCCTCGGCCTGTAAGGAACATGTAGTTATACATTCTCCATTTCATCCCTTAGTTTAGATAATATTAAATAAAGTTCAAGGCAATTAAGGGTAAGAAAAGGTTCCAAATACATAGTTCGGTGGCTTATGACTGGTATATAATATTAAAATAAACTGATTTAAATAGCACAATTATAAATTAAATAATTTAATAAATAAATTAGTTAATTTATAAT